CCAAGGAGCTTGCAACTCATGCTATGCTATGGCTACCATAGGTAGGTTTAACCTTCGAATGATACGGAGAGATTGTTGCGTGATTCAGGAGCGATGGAGGGCGCATTCCAGATCAAGACCGGTCATCTGGCTAAATTTTCAGCTCAGCAGATTGTAGACTGTTCTATGCCATGGGGGAATAAGTAAGTCCAGTGCCTTCACTGGAGGGATTCGTTGAGGACCCGGATCAGTTGAAGTGACTCAGTTCTCTAAGAGAACTTCTCTCCTAATTCACGTCTTGTAAGAATTTTTTCCATACCCTCTTTTACACCAACTGTAAGGCGGTCACTTGAAGCTAGTGTCACTTACTTTTTTCAGTGGATGCGTAGGCGGTTCGATCAGCAAGACGGCAACTTATGTAAATCTCAATGGGATCGTGTCGGACAAGGACTATCCCTATGTTGCCAAGAAACAGGATTGCAACGGTGTGGTTTACGACTTTGACAAAGCATGCCTCGAGGTATCAACTAGGAGGAGAGTTGATGACATACCTTCACGGTTTGGTTGTGACCATCGAATTTCGAGAGTCTAATAATATCTCTCAACTGCAACAAGGCGCCGTCCTCATCTATCAGAACAGTATATAATATCACTGTCTCTGTTTCAGCCTGGTGACCTAGTTGTGAGGGCGAGTGTGATTATTCCTAAGGAGAGGCTAGATATCCTTATCCAGGAGCTGCAATTTGGCCCCATTGCTCTCACACTATTCGCCAATACTCCAGCGTTCATCAACTACCGAAGTGGAATTCTAGATAGTAGCTTTAGGAATGCCTCCTAGACTGTGTGAAAATTACATCTTCAGTTCCGGATTGTAAAGGTGAACCACACCATGCCATGCTGCTTGTTGGATATGGTTTCGATGGAGGGAAAGCGTGAGTAAAGAAAATACTATTACTGGGTGGCTGGAATTGTCGTCAATATTTTGGGGACCTAAGTTGATCGTTTCAGGTATTGGTTGCTGCAGGACACATACGGACCTCAGCGAGGTGAAAATGGATATATTAGAGTTGCTAGGGACCCGACAAAGACTCACGGACCAGGTAGCCTTGGCCAGGCTCGATGCATCTAAACCAAAACGATGAGCTGATGACCCCTTTCAGGCTTCTGCAACATGCTACTCGATACGGCTTTTAGGCCCGTCTTGAACAAGGTGCTGAAGTCTAAGGCGTGCCTTGGCTAATCCGCCCGACTTCCATTTCAAATAATGTTGCGCCCTCGGAGGCGCTTGTCTTGATCATCAATCTTGTATCATGCATTTATAACTCACGCGTCTTCATTTTATCGTCCTGATATTCACAATCGATTTCTGCCAGAAATTCTCTCGTATATGAGATCTCAGTTGTCCATACGCCTATAGAATCTACTGAGCAGAGTTGAATTGCAGGCCCAAATAATCCTTGTTATGAACGTCGACAATTGGCTTAACGACTATTACGGAGCGGCCCAGTGTGAGCCGTCAACCGCGCACCATTGGTGCGCAGTACATTGAGAACTTATCATTGGCAAACAGAGTATAGATGAGTAACTCTCTCGTGAAATGCACATTGAATGGAGTTTCACCCGTGATATGGAAAGCAAGCACATCTCACGACTATCGCATACCGTGAATATCGCGTTTTTCACCCAGTTTCACGCCACTTTGAGTACACCGGGTGAAACTCCAATGGTTAGTCTAGTACGCTGTGTCTGGCGTTGGAGATAAATTCGTTCCTACACACAGAGTCATGTCACATGGCTACATAACAATACGTGTATAACTCGATAAACGGCGTCACCAATGGTTCCTCACAATTTACGTGTAATATTCAGAAAACAAGTTTCGTTTTTAATTAAAATCTGCAGGAACTTCGCGACTTCCCTTCTTAGATGAACGAATATCTCAACAAAAATTTCTGATTCGGATTTTTCGACGTATTCAGTCACTTAACAGCTACGTAAAGTACGCGACATGTAGAGATACGAGGTCCGGACGGACCAAAATCTCGATAAGAATGACGAAATCTGAGCCGTTTCCTCCTTTATTAAGTTCTCCATGCCCAATTACTACCCCTGAATCGAGCTTGCTCAGGAAAAAAAACTCGACAGAAAAAATGCTATTCTTCGTGCTGATTGGCGCGACATTTCAGCGCGCAAGAGTCAGGTTTTGCTGTTTTGTTTGGATATCGCATTCTATACATTACTAGACACAATGAAACCAGTTGTATAAAGCAAAGCTCTACATTATGAAAAAACTAATGTATACGTAAAACACACAAAATTCGGTTCAATCGCGACGACTGCGGCTAAATTTTCCGTTCTCTCCAAGGGGAGCCCTCTGCTTACGGCGGACTTTCCTGAGGATCATGATTTCTGCAAGTGTCACAGCACTTGAGCTACTCCCCGGCTGACCAAAAGTGCTCCCGGATCAGGAGTGATGTCAAGATGGCATGACAAACAGGGCTCGTTTTTCAAGCCTGGAAGGTTGCTGCTTGCAAACCAAGATCTGGCGGTGAATATGGACTGGAGCTGAATCGGATCACACGACCCGCTTTACACTTGGAGGTGAGCGCAATACGAAGTAATCAATGAGCAACGTTGGTGTATGCATCTTATTGGGTGCTGGGCGGCGCAGCAACAGTCTGGAGAACCGCCAAAACGACGTCCATAGACCCATCGTCAGTAACCACGATGTCGTAGTAGTCCAAGTAATGCTCTAGCAGTTTCTTCGCCTTTGGAGAGGACTCAGGGGAGTCCGCCTGAAATAATATCAATTCGAACTGAACAGTGATCGAAGCAAGTTGCTACCAGAAATCCGATGGCAATAGAAGTGTGTACTTCCGGTACAGAATCGATGAAATCAACATCTGCAATGAGATCTCCCAGACCTGCCAAAGTAATACCATTAAAGACCATTTCGAGAAGGGAGTTTCACCCTAGCGATATGAAAGACACTAGTGAAAAATTTATTTCACGACTACAGCATATCGCGAATATCGCGTTTTTCACTCAGAATACCGCCGCTTCATATAAAATGGGCGAAACCCCGATCTAATGGGGTGAAACCAGACGAAAGCCTACAGATGACGTTATGACGCTGTTTGCGCTGCTCATCATGCCTGATGTAATCAGTGAGCGCTGATTTCTTCGTGAGGCAGTGAATTTGTGGTCCACGAAAGGACAACACTCTGTCAGTTTTGGGATCGAACTGCATTATGTTTGACACGATAGTCGTATTATCGGGGAAAAGAGCGTCGTAGCCTCTGAAAAAAAAACAATCAAGGGGGAGCAGCCTCATCCAACCATCTCACTTCAGAACGTATTCGATGATGTTCCCGATCCCAGCACTGAGGATCGTCACCGGAATTCCGTCTGCATGCGCCAATCGCAGCATTTCTGGCGCCATTGCTCGAAGGGCGAATTTGCCAGTTCGACTAAAGCAGACCGCAGCTAAACTAATCCCCCTCACAGATTGCCGTTTTCTGGGACGTAGTGTTCGAAACAGACGCAAGGATCATTAATAACTGAGCGATAGAACATATTTCGGAGAACCCGAATTTGTAATTATTATCAAATCTGACAGCCTAAAGATCTATAAGCGTTTTCATGGAAAATTTTCAATCTCTCCCCTCCGTTCGTTTTGGGTACTAAACCACGAAAATCGGCCTCGACCAACGATTATATCGGTGCTAGTCCAACCTCCTCCATCATTAACGTTGGAGTTTGAACTCTGAAGCGAGTCGCGGGTGTATTCCAAATGCATGGTGCACTATACCGTGAACACCAGCAAACAATCAATGGAGTCTCACGGGGCACACGAGTTTTTCGCTAAGTGAAATGTGAAATAATGTTTTTCACTCGTGTTTTTCATTTCACGAGTGAGACTCCAATTCTACTCAGTTATCGAGTCCAGCCCAAAGATTTTCCTAAAAGTCTGAACATACACACACGGTGTGTCTGAGTTCAAACTTCCATGTGAAACCTCACGCGAGACGAAAAATATGCCGAAAACCAACGGGGTAAGTACCGTGAAAAATCCACAACATCTTCTACACCGTGCTTGTAGACCTCCTGATCACATATCAGCTTTTCCGATTCCGCCCACCAAAAGTCCATATGCTCGTGCTTCTCTTCACGTGCCATGTTCGGGTCCATCTAAATCAAACATCGTCGAGGAGTTTCTCCCTTATACTACTTCTATAGGGTGGTATTTCTCCACAAGCGATCGCGACTTGAGGAAAAAGTCCTCGGTGAACTTGGGGTAAGTCTCGAAAATGCCGTGACACGATTGCCCAGCAACTCCAGGGGAGACATAATGGCTGAAATGAGACACTAATACAATCGGACTGAACGAAAAATTCACGGAAAAAATCCCCGATAAACTCATCGTGATGTGAACTTACCCAACCAAGTACATGCAGTGCTGGAATATATGTTCAGTTTTCTCAGCTGAGCTAAAGAGTTTTTTCACTACATTGTAGAAATCTAAACACGACTCAATAGAAGTGTACGCAAACCAACGAGTAATCTCCCAAAATTTTCTCAGAATTTTTATACTGCCACCAGCAGTGCTGGCCCAGCACACGCAGTTGACCGTACACATATTTTCCCAAGCTTCACCATTCAGACGAAATTCAGACAGAAATTTTCCTCATGTGATTATTCAATAGCAGTATAGGACAAGATCTACATGCTCAACTACACGCGCGAATGCCGATGAGGAAATTTCTGCAAATTTTCTTTGTTTTTCGTAAATTTGCAACTTTTTCATAATGTAGCTTCGAGAACTCCTCAGTTGAGGAAAGCAATCACATATTTCAACGCACACCAGCTAACCTCGTCAAAGTGCGATCAAAGTCAGTGACAATCTGCAGATTATCCCATCCTCCATCAGCAGCAATCTTGT